TCAATGATAGTATGATAATATAAATAACAATTTTTTTTTCGATTTAACTGACCAATTAAAATTTACAAATTTAAATTACTCTGTTGTTGCCGCTGCGAGGTTATTATTTATTTTGTCATTTAAAAATGAAAATATAACTACATCGCAATAATAATAGTTGTAATTCTTGTAACGTGCATATTTCGCAATTATTATTAATTATTGTATAATTACTCTGCGAACGTAAAATGTCTATCAAAAAAATGCACTATATTACATGCAGTCTGTTATTTGACGATATCGTAATAAACAATAATAACAATGCAAGTAGGTATACCGATGGTTTTACGATGAAATCTATTATWTAATAATTCTGTTTGGAAAGTAGAAAGGGGTGGTTTTACTTTGAATATATTATAATACGTCAACACGATAATAAAAATCGTTTTCGTTTCATAAGTTCGTAAATTTTTATTTCAAAATGCTCGTCATTCCGCATAATTAATCTGTCCTTGACGATTACTTGAGAATAAAAGAATATTTAATATTTTATWATAAACTACCAACTCTTCGATTTCATGAACGCAAAACTTGCGGCGTGCACAACGATGAAACTGGAATTATATACACATATATGTATACTGTATAGACATTCCGTTATAATAATAATATATACGGGTAATTTGTGTGTACGAGTACCTATAGATAACTACAAATAATTCTTTTTTTGTCTAATGATCTCAGTAATGATTTATTTACAGTATTTAAATAATTATATTAAACGGAACGTTATATATCGATCGTTTTATTTTTACCAGCGCACTTAAATATAATATGCAGATGCTGCGCARGACCATGTAAAAGAGATTTTTGTTTGTTCGATTTGTCTGTATTATTTTCGACTCCTCGTGACTAAACAGATTACATACAAACATATTATTATTTACACAGCGAGTGATCATGCATAATCATAAGACAATCATAAAAAATGCTTTTGAAAATAATTTTTTACACAATTTAAGTCGTTTATAATCAATTTTTCTAAGAAAATCGTATTATTTACATTTTTATGTTTCATCTTTTTATCATTATTTTTTTGTTACTTTTTTAATACAACATTCATTTTTAATCCTATACACCGGTCACCGAAGCAGAATATTTTTCGGAGTGCTTTGATACACGCATATTCAATTTTTAATAAATTTAGCTTTATTCAATATTTAAAGCTTTGWCGAGCGGTAAGGAATGGTAAACTAGAGCCCTACAAAATGTCTATCCACTGCAGACCACTACTCAGTTAATTCAAACACTAAATTCTATCATAAATGTATAACTTAAAAGTTATAACTAATAAACTACTTGCTTGAAATTTGATTTGTATAGATCGAAATACTGTGAACAACAATATTGTACTTAGTACAAAATGTRCAAATCCATGTTGTCATTGATAAAACAAACAGTTTAAAAAATATATTTTTTTAGATAAATTTTGTAATTTAATTACCTGAAATTAATAGTTTTTTTTTAAATAATGAGTATCTATTGATAGTGCGTTACGTTAAACGGATCATCCAGCATATTATATAATATTATAGGGCGTTTATCTATATATTATGTAGTACCTACCGTAGTGGTTCAAAGATAAACATATAGCTTTGTGCTTCGATTACCGAGAGCTATAATATGACATGAAATCTTCAACATTGAGCATAATATCACGTTACTCTACCTAAAAGGAAAAATCAATTGTTCATGCCACTGTGGCTTAAATGATAACATTTTACAAATAATAACGATTCGAGACGTCAACCGTTGTCCATTATTATCGTATTCTATAGGTACCTACACGTTTGGAGCCAAAGACCAGCTGTATCAGCATTGCGCTGAACACGGAACCGTCACTGCGTGTAATCTTCGTAGAGACTTGACATTATTTCGATGACATCATGACCGTCCTATGAACAATAAATGCATTCCTTACAATGGGACGTTATCTGTACGGTTACCCATCAATTCGGGTATTACACGAATCTACCTAGAGCAGTTCATTATTATTAATTATTGTATGTTATCGCGTGTTATTCGATCGGGCATAAAATTAGTTTAACCATTGATATTATGTACATAATATAATACCTATGCGAGTTTAATTTACTAAATTTATGCAGGGTTGAATGAAAAATGTATCCATCAAATGGTGCAATAAAATTTAATAGACCAATCATCAGCCGCTAATCTTATATATTTAAGGGACCACAACTTCCATAAGCCATCACTATTATTGATTCGTTAAATCATTGATTACAATATTATTATTTATAATCAATTGTTAAAATATGTTTAGTGATTGTTCGTTYCAAACTTTTTCACTAACAAATAATTTAACTCGCGCGTTCTAAACGTATTATTGTACAACATTGTACGTCTATATACGCAATACACGCGTGAACTGCGAATACAAATATCGGTAAATYACACAATATTATTTACAATAACAATATTTATCTGTTTTGACTTAATGGCGGGTTGAAATTAAATATATTATATTATTATGTTATATAGGTAAATAGTTGATATTTTATTTTTTAGACATCGCGATGCATCGGATTAAAACGACGAACCCGATGACAAAAGTACGTGTTGGACGTGACGACACACGGCCAACCGGAAGTGTTGTATTTCCCCGRCGCCCATATAGCAGGTACCCACCGGCCTCGTCACGACCGGRCGTTATATCGTATTATATTGCATTATTATTATTGTTTCCGTTTACGGATGCGTCCTGTAAGCGGCGCTCGTGCTCGACTGGTAATCGAGCCTCGTCCGAACCGTCCGGTAGTTATCATTGGGGCTCGATACGCGTATGTGTTGTGCGCCAAACAAAACCTCTGGTAAGATCGCAGCCGGATGTGAACTATAAACAAAGCAATCCACCAAGTATGCTCATTGCTGATCTCCAATTTTTTAGTTAGATAATAAATTAAATCATATTCTGATTTTTGACATTTTTTATAAATTCGGAGGCCTTTTTATTGAAATTTATCTAAGTTTAGTTAGGTGGGATGYGATCGAGGGGTTCTACTTTGAATTACATCAGTTTGTACATCTCGACAATTTTAAAACATATTAGAACCTTTAAGTGTATTTAAATGTTTCAATAACTAGATTTTGAATAACTGCATTATTGAAGAAATTAGCCAATGGAGATGGAGAAGAGCATGTTTGGTGAAGCACCCTGTATTGTCCTTACGTGTTCTTACATGTTTCGATACAATACCGTCAATACCTATAACATACAATGCCAGAAGAGGTTTAATTGTTTTTGAATACATTAAAAATATTAAATTCAAAATATGACCCGCAGTGGCAATGAACCTAAACACGAACGCGTGGCCATGAACTAAAACGATCGCTAATCATACAATAATGTTGGTCATTAAATTATAAGTGGTTGATGCCTTGATGATCTACAAATATTGTTTTCGCTTCACAACTACCTACTTAATATTTAATACTTTTTTGAGTACTGCTTGGATATTAGATCGAGATAGACGGACGGTGGATAGTCGAATGTGGTATACAAATACAATATTATGTACAAATGTACAATGCAAATAATTATGTTTAGGGGTAGCCTATGTTTTAAGTATGACRTCAGAATTAWGGGTGGGCTATAAGGAGGGAGATGACTTGTTTGCAGTGAAAACGGTTGCACTTAGATTTGCAGCATATACAATATGCATCTTAATTAATGAACTACAAACATAATGATTATCTTGAAATGCGGCATATTTGTGTGTGCGTGTGTGTGTTATTGCACAGTTTTCAAACATCTTATCAGTCACTAAGGTCTGAGGCCAATTTACAGTTATAGGTGCATACAGTTTTACTCACATAGTTCGTGCTTCATTGAGTTGTTATGTAATTTTTTAATTTTACAATATTAAAATATCCTAAAATTGATGACGATTGACGTTAATACGTTGAGCTATAATGAGTGTTTATTAAAATGAAATAAGTAAATATTTGTATTATATAACGAATAAATTAACATATAATTATGGCGCAATRGCGCAGAAAATAATTTGATATTCTATGTAATATAAACTCGTCGTGAGAGTGTTGATTTTATTAATTACCGTGTTAAATTAACTGAACACGGRCACCATTCGTATTTTATTGAACTTCACTTATGAGTTTATATACGTACGATTGTACGAATGTACGATCTATGTTCAACCAGGAGCTGACGGTTGTATCAATTATTTTTTACGATTGTTAAATATTAATGAAGCACAATAATATCAGTACCATAATGTTATATCACGTAACTATTATAATACTATTATAACTGCAGGCGTGGACTGGTAAAAAAAGGGCACGGGATGCAACATAATTTTAAGGGCAAACATCAAAAATGATTGGGAAAAATTTAAAGTATATGGATTATATTTTATTTTGTTTTAATAAAATATTGAAAATACTTACGTAAATATTTACMAAGTTACAACAAACATTCAAACAAAATTGTATATGGTATTAGATTAAAAACAAATCAGATTAAATTTTATATCAAATATACTTAAGGGTAACGAATGATGTAGCATMCCAGCCAGTTCGCGCCAGTTTATAAGTAGTAAAAAAATGTATATAAGCTGCAGAATAATTCAATTTATTATATTATTGTTATTATCATTTATTTATGTCAACAAAAGTAATTTTTGAAAATAAAAATAATTATAGGCTACTACAAAAACAAAGCGATAACAAATTATTGTTAATAATTAACTTACTATCTATTATTAAATCATTAAAATATACTGATCTATGGAAATCATGATTGAATATTATAACTCTACAGATTGTACCTATCTGTAATGCAGTAACTTAACTACTCATAATATTATATAAACCACGGTTTAAGATATTATTTAAGTATATCTTAAACCGTGATATAAACATATGTTTATATATTATATATCCGTATTCATCACATAGATCATTTTAAAATAAAGAAAAAAATTCACGTTATCACAAAAGTAAACGATGTGCATAATAATATAATAAAATATCTATGTTATTTAATAAGCAAATAAGCTGTAATAAAACACCCATTTGATAAAACCAAAAGTTGATTAATTAAGGTATACTTCATCATTTCAAAGTGTTAAGACAACAGCGTGTCGGCAATTTGTAATAATTAAAATGAATAATTCAAACGGTAAATAAGTTCTGTTTAATTATTGCTTAGTTTACAAATTATTAATTATTAACCTACAACAATATTTTCTGTACAATATTATTTCAGAATATTTGGAAAATACTTTTACAAATGAACTATACAATAAGATTTACATAGGAATGTTAAAAAKCCATACGGGAGAGACAGATTCAATAGATAACATTATAGAACGATTAGAATCACCTCAAAAAGAACAGTTTATTTCACTGTTTATTGATTTGAAAACCAAAAATGTTAGTAAACTTAAAATGCATTTTCATTGAATTGTGTATCGATAACTATTGCTCTTATTATTGTTTTTTAGGATCCTTTAGACATGGATTTTGTACTTCGGCTCTGTCACAAATTATTAGAACAACAAAATAAATCGAATGTATCATTCTTGCCAACTGAACAAGTAAACTGACTCGTTGCATACTTACGCACGATTATTTATCAATTAGATAATTTGGTAACTATATATTTTACAGATAATTGGTCGGAATGAACTTAGTCATCAACATTTTAGACGAAAACAATTTAAGGATGACAAATCCGATCAAAATGAAACCAAATCGTCATACGATTTGTTTGAAAAAAAAGATAATGATCGTTTTTCTTTACTTTCAAACAGGATGAATTTGATGACAGGTAAACCGTTCAAATTATATAATATTTTAATATATACATACTACATACATGAAACATTAAATATTATATGACGTGTASCGTGTACTGTGTATACCACTAAATATTCTAATTTCTAGAAGGATGAGATAGGATATTAATATGGAATTTTAAAACGTGAAGGAAGTGCCTTCATGAATATCCTCACGGCTTTAAAAAATTTCAAATTTTAAGCCTATTGGTACTTTTGATATAACTTAAATGTTGTAATATAATGTTAAAAAAATATTTTTTATAGCTACACTACAAAGCATTTTGAATAGGTAAATTAAAATTTATGAWTTATCTAATAATTGTATCTTTTTTTTTAACATTTCTTTGTTTTCGTAATTATTTACTCTAATTTTTCTCATCTATACTAAAAGTTGTAAGATAAAAAATAATTTAGGGTTATGAAAATTATGAAAATCGGCATATTACAATTATAGATTTATTTCAAATTAATTTAAATATTGTAAAATTGCTTCTTCGCTGTCTTTGTGTATCTTTAAACAATAATTTAATAATATCGATTATATATCATTACATCAAGTATAAAATTAATACGTTTAAAATTTTGTTAAAAACGGATTTTTGTAAATTTCAACGTATACCTACTAACTATGTAAATTTCGTAATTACTAAAAAAATTATTCAAACATTTTAAAAATTAAATCTTAATGTTTTTGAAAAATCTTCACGTTWATTTTGAGAAAAAAGGTTGTTAAATTATATTCTGCGTGTGCATAGGATTAAAAATTTGAATTTTTTTCAAAATGCGTATTTAGAAATTCCATTTCGATCCGAGCTAATTAGTTTCTCATTAGCGAAGTATTTGATTTCTTTAGACGCAAGTAAACAATTTGGACGAAAACTGCTTCTAAATCTGACACAATATGGCCAAGGCATGAATTTGGTCAAATCGGATAATGACACCACGTGCATAACAATTCCAAATTTAGAATTTGTGGTAAAACATGTGAATGAGCTTAGCCGTCTTCATAAAATTATCAAAGACTACGTTAACGCCGACAACGAACACAGCGGTCTTGTAGCTAAAGCTTTAAGATTTAGTTTACAAGAGAAAATTAATTCATATTACATTTATGTAAACAAGTGGGTTAGTCATATTTTTGTTTTTGCAGTATGGTCAACGAGAATTCGGTTGTTTAGAAATAATTCCTAATACAATTCTTAATGAGTTTATTTTGTTATATTTTAGTTACGTGCCAACCTTGACGTATTAGAATATTCTAAAGATTGCTTACGCGCGTGTATCCCTTTAGACCACGATGTTWTGATAAAGTTCCAGTGTCTAGCGAAAGTTGTAAAGAATGCCAAAGGCAAGAGTGGCTGCAATTTAATATCTTCGGTAACTCGCATCTCCAGTATCCACGAAATCGATCGTACAATTTTAAATGAGGTAATAATATATTTTCTAAGGATTTTATTCGTTGAATGATACGTTTTCGTCTTAGATCACCAAACCCATACAGGCAATGATTCTCCGTTGGATGAAGCACGGCGAAATAGAAGACGAACATGGTGATTTTTTTATAGTAAAAAACTCGTCTGAAAGTTATTGGAATAAAATCCACGCATTGAGGTCAGTTTAAAATGTCATAAAAATTATTCAAAAATCCATTTGTATACTTATATAACTTATATTAATACCGATATAGTTCAACTAACACATTAGATTTCCTGGACGATTGTCAGTTAAACGAAATTTATCAAACAGGAAAAAACATGAATTTACTGTTAAAATTGCTTAGTCCAAAGATGAATGCGAAAATTGAAAAACTTAGAGAAAATACCAAAATACTAGCTACCAATGGAGGTAATCAGAATTTAAGTAGCTAAAATATTAGTTAAAAGAGATATGTATGCCTACGTTTTCAGATGGACTCGTTATTATGTTGACTGATAAATTTAATAAAACATCAACAATAATATCTGACTCGTGTAATCAATCGTCTGCGTTATTGAAGGAAGTGTTAATAGACGATTACAATTTGTTTCAACACTTCGAAGGATTCCGAAATTATATGTTGCTTGGTCGTGGAGACTTTTACTCTTATATTATACACAAGTTGGAGTAAGATTTTTAGTGTTAATTACTTTTAAAGCTCCACATATGATATAATAAACATTTTAGACCGCATTTTGGAAATAATGAGATATATTTCAATTATCAATTAAAAGATATCATCAAAAATGCATATGCTTTGACATCCGCTAGTAATGACAGCAAGGAGCTGTTCAACAACCTGAAATACCGAATCGATACGGCCGAAAAAATGAACTGGAACAGTATCAAGTTCGAGTACAAGACTGATGAACCTTTAAATCAAGTACCTAAATCTCACCATAATCGTGATAAAATCACCCTGAAGACACTGAAAACTTTAATTAGTGTGTCAACATTTCAGATATTCGGCCCCTGCTATAACCATTATGCAAACGTTTTTAAATTCCTATGGCGACTGAAAAATGTAAATTGGACTACACACAAAATGTGGCATGAACTTTCCTATGTCGTAAAAAAATCATACAACATGATTCGTAAGTTAATTAAAAAATTTCTAACTATAGATAACATAACAATACATACCTAATGATTCTCAAAATTCTTGTAATTTATACACCTGTTACTAAAGCTGTAACAATTTTAGATTAACAAACACATTTTCATTTCAAACGCGTAAAAATAAATGCAAATCATAATTTTCATTATATTATACGTCCACTATTAAGTATRATTAATTTGTTTCAAATAAAGCTTTTAAAATATTTTAATCAGATTTATTAATATATTCGTAATAAATTATGAAACAAATTTCATTAATATCAAAAAACAACTCTTGAAATATAACTGCTACAGGTTAAATGGTGTAATTATACTTGTAACTCGTATAATACCTGTCACCTGATATGTAAAATACATTTTATTTTTCTGGCAACTCACACCATGTCACACCTTTACGGGTCAACAAAGTCTCGCAATTGCTTAGTTTTAATTTTAATTTTTAACATCTACACGTCCTACACGTATTTTGACAAATAGAACTGAAACCGGTCTTGAGAAACATAAACGCATTACTGTCAAACATGTTGAGCTGCATAAACGAAATTCAAAACTTCGTGTTTGAGACGATCGACGATGAATGGGAACAGTTCAAAAGTGAAATCCACAGAGCTACTTGCATCGAAACGGTAACGGATGCTCATATGTCGTTTTTGGAATCAATTACGAAATTTGTGGATGACGGATCTGTGGTAAGTAATATCACAATAGTCTAATTAAAATCTCTTGAAAACCTTTGATATTTACAAGGACACGTTAATTTTTCTTATATTTTTACTCGATGGCTACATTTTTCTGCTATAAGTTACAACTAACTTATTGCCTAACGTAGCCGTAAAATTCATACTTGAGTACTGATATGACACTCATCGCAATAGTGGGCAGTGGCACTAGGGAGATATCGACTGAGAAAAAGGGCCTGAGCCTGCCTTAGTGAGAACATCTGAATTAAAAGGTTTTAATTTAAAGGCCCCGAATACGTTATTTGCCCAGGGCCCCACAAAATCTTCCACCGTCACTGCTCATACTTGTTATACATTATTTAAATGAATATTATGAATGTTCATGTAAGTATACTATAATGTGTATATATTTAAATATTTTATTCATACCATTGATTATAAATACTATACTATAAATGTTTTATACTATACTATTACTATATCATAATACTATTGCTGTTTTATCAATTATTGCCACGTTTAATGTTTATACAACGGCCCGAAAACTGTGAAGTCTATAGAGTATAGATGAAAAGATTAAATACTCTAAACGCTAGTAGGATAGACTAAATTTGATTCTCAACTCTACAATCTAGTTTCACCAATTTCATAAAAACTATTAATCAAAATATAATGAAAATGGAGATAAGCCCCCGGAGTCTGTGGTTAAACTTTGGTAAAAATCCAAACGGAACTAAAATCATACATACGGTAGATATTGGTACCCTGCACATTTAAAAACATTAATATAATATTGACTTGTTTGTTAGATCTTATAAATGTATACAAGTATAAAGAATGACTCTTTTAGTAGGCTCGCAGACAATTTCAAAAATGGATTAACTCTAAAAGTATCTCACAGCTACACAATCCCTCGTTGGTTCATTGCGCCTTGGAGACTAGTAGCAGTGTTATATCACAATYCTCGTATAGTGTATACAGTAGGGCTGCAGTCTSTCCAAATCGAACGTTTTCATCGTAGCCATTTTATTCACAGAATATTTACTAGATGTCTTTTATGCACAGAATGGCTGCAGTTGCTACACGAATCAGCTTGCAAAATCCTTGAACTTCAGGCTCGTATTTTTTTAGCCACGTGTTTGAATTTTACATATATTTTTTGTATTGTATTAATACGATCACGAGGAGTGGCGGGAAGTGTGTTTTAAAACCCAAAACATCATCACGCAACTGCGGGACGGTGTTGTACGATTGAGAACGTTTTACCTTTTTAGCAACACGATTGAGAACGATTGTCGGCAGATCAAAGAAACAATATTTTGTTCCTTAAAATCAAACGATCGAGAACGATTTTTCGAGCGACGTTGTCATTTATCTTAACTTTTAGTAATAACTTTTAAGGGCTGGGATGTTGATCCAAGGGTATATTTTTTTGGTGTTTTGAAATGTTGCTGATTAAAACTGATTTTTTTTTTTTGACATTTTCTTGACAAAATTCACCTTAAATTTGTTTATAAAATGAACGAAAATTTTTTCGATTAACAAAAGATTTTCTGCATGTTTGCTTTTGCTTTTGATTTTTTWAAATTTTTAATCTTAAACTGAAAAATAAAAATATAAATATTTTGTAAATAAATATTAATTTTTTAAATTTTAATCTTAAAAAATGCGCCTTAAGCTGGCAAATAAGTGATAAATGTACCTATTGATTTTACAATGATGTGTGTGTTTATTTTTATTTATCAAATTTAATTCCACGTAAGTTTATTCTGTAACCAAAAACTCAAAGATATATTATAGTAATTGATATCTATTATATCTATTTTATATTTTATATTTTATATTTTTAATTAATGTGGCAACGTTGCATGAAAGTTAGCAGGTAAAAACGTTCTCAATAGTGTTATTAAAAAAGGTATGGCCAAAAAGGACCGTTCTCAATGGTGTTCTACGTTCTACCGGGAAAACGCGAGTTGGGTCCCGAGATATTTGATCCCTTAAAAAAAAACAGGAGTTAGGTCTGCGGTATTATTTGTTAATACTCGAATTGGGCCCGCGGTAATATTGTCAGTGCCGGTCGCACACACCTTCCACTGGCACTGAATATATTGTATATTATTTTAACAAGACAAATGTTTAACACGATGTATAGATGTGGCCTATAACTTTCTAGTAAATAGTAATTATGTAGTATGTACTATAATAATAATTTTAAGTTTTATGTTTATAACAGTAAAGTTTAACTTGGTAAATGTTTATACAAACCAAAATACTCATGCAATTTATGACTTATGAATATTATGACTTGGAAAAAAAATTAATAAAATTTTTTACAGAGTTAAGTTAATTTTATTTTATAATATCTTAACTTTAATTTTAATTAATTTTATTCAATTATTTTCATTAATTTGCCCACTTTTGCTTAAAATATACCGGGACCCAACTCTTGTGCTCCAAAAAATTATACCGGGACCCAACTCATGTACCTCAAAAAATATACCGGGACCCAACTAATGTACTCCATAAAGTATACCGGGACCCAACTCGTGCTGTTTTTGRAATCWGGGACCCAACTCGAGTTTGTCCTTTCTACCCCTGCGGGAGATGTGTAGATACTAAATCTCAAGTTTTTCAATAATCTCGTATCTGGTAAACTCTATTAACATGCCCTTCTATCTAAATTTCAAAGTTCCTCAGTGGTCAAACAGAAAGTAGGTACCTACCATTTTTCACTCCGCTATTCACCACAAACTRTAAAATATATCAAATAAATCTATTAAACACATACTGGCCATTGCCAATGTTTACCATTCATTATTCGCCTTTTAAATTATATTTAACTAAATATCGATGTATTGCATGTTAGTATATTTTTATCTATATTATGTTGTATCTAATTATGTGTGACCTTGTATTTGTAAYCAAAAGAGTAAGACCACGGTTAATCAAATAAATAAATATCCTATAAAATATAAGAAATACAAATTTTCATTTTTATATTTTTAGAAATATTGAATAATAGGTACCTGTATCTTGGTTTTTGAGTCAGTCCGTATAATGCTAAAGGTTTTCTATTATAAATGAGATTAAGAAATTTATTTATTCTTTATCTAACCTTCAATGTGGAAATTTATTCATTAAAACTTAAGAAAATAAAATTTGATTTGTGCTTATGTTAGTATAAATTGAATTAATAAGTTTGCAATGTAAACACTTTGACAACTTTTAAACTCTGATCAATCATTATAGCAACAAACTTCAGATAAGAAGTTTTTTAAATAATAATATTATAAATTAATATACACATATATATTATATATATAGGTTTAGCTATGTGAATAAATTACGATATTTTATATAAACAATGAATAAACTWACCGAATAAAATGAACTGTAGTTTTTAAGAGATGCTTGATGAATGATGATAATGTTCAATTTTATTTTTTTAATGGAAATATTTGTAAAGTTAAAACCCGTAGGAATACAATTATATACCTACCTACTTTGGCTTCGAAACAAAATATTGATCTGTACCGGCTATAACGACTATAAACTTAGTACTTGGAAAGTTGGAAGTGTTTTTMAAACTATAATAATATTATGTTAGAGCGAATAGTCCACGAACTTTGTTGAAAAATTAATGTACCTAGTTAGGTGCAGTACGGTAGCTAGAGGTGCCGCGGAGGCACGAGTTTCCCTGAAATCTTTAGTGCAGTGTAAAAATATGCCTTATCTAATTTATATGACTAATACGATTAATTTGCTTCATCGTTATTTCTTCTGTTTATAGCTATATCTTATTAAATTTGTGTAAAATCAACTATGGCTTGATTGGTGTTTGGTATATTATTTGTCTGAAAAAAGTTATCATGACAATGGACAAGTAATAAACTATATTTTGAATAAAATTCAATGTTTTAAACACATAATAATATACTTGTATCAATTAATGCATTAATCCGCGTGGCTTACAATAATGATGCTAATAAATTGTCAAATGTGTACCGTAGTTGCTAACACAATAATTGTATACATTGACGAGAAAAAAGGTATATTAGTGGTAATATTATATTACTATGTAGGTAATACACTTTATATTGTAATGAGTAGGTATTCTGACGCGTTTAAAAAAAAAAATAGTGGCACCCCAACCTTCAGAAAAAAATTCTTACTACTGCACTGGGCAGGAGTGAAATATTATTTTATTACCTATTATATTCTTTTCACAGTCATTGGACGCGTATGTTGAATCGTTGAAAATACACGTAAAAAGCTTTTCTAATGWTTTCCGTTGTTTCGTTGATACGATGGAATCGTCGTCGTTCAAAGAACCGAAAACCCGGAAATACAGCAAATGTTGTGAAGAAAATAACACGATAAATGCGTTTATGGACGATTTCGGAGTTATAAAAAAACAATACGAGGTAACAAAATAAAACGTTCATAAAACCGTTTGTCCGATTACAATATTTATAAGCAAAAGTAGATGTAATTCGATTTGGGATAATGTATACGAAGTTTATAATTTATCACCAGTCATATTATACGCACCAACTGCAGCAGTGAATGTAAATAAAATATGTTTCAGTTACCTAAGTCCAAACGGACACCGGGACACCTGGGTATTGCATTTTTTATTTGCATAAAATATTTACCATGACTTACTATTTATTATTCCATATTGAATTAGTCTGACGCAATTAAAATATTGATAATCTAAACACCTACATCAAGACTAGGTACCTATATATAACAATATGTGACGTTATARTGTGACGTAGGTATTCCCAGGCATGYCGCGCCGTTAAAAATGTACAATGTTTTATAATATTTCATATTTTCATTTTGGWTTTTTATAGTATTTATTTCATAGCTGATGCCTGTTTAWAATATTCATTATTATTACTAGTTAGATACCTACAATAGGGCTATTGGAAATCTGTCTAAAATGTATCAGGTTAAAAAACAAACATTTATTCATATCTTTAATGCATTATCGCTGACTAATTTTGAATTAAATCTTATTGTAACACCTTATACCTGCCTTTATGATTTTCTGTTTTTTTTTTTTAAATGTTTTAATTCGGTGTCTCGAAAAATAATTTAACAATATAACAATGAGATCACTTTTATTCATTTCGTGTATTTTTGATTTATTTATTTAAAATATTGTGTATGATTTACGATAAATAATACTTAGATGCTTACTATTAATATTAAATATTTTATACAAATATAATTTTATTATTAAACTTATGCTAAATTTTCCCATTTTAAAATGAATTTATAAATCATTATATAGTTTCTGGAAAATCAATTTTCAAAATTAACTTTGAGTAGGTTAGGTACCTTTTCAGCTTCAAATCGATTTGACAACGATAAAATAATGTGCGTATAATAATGTTATCTTAAGTTGATATTTTATTGATTAGCAAAATAGCAAGCGATTAGTTGAATCTAGAACATTGCCACTGCTATGTTAATTTATTTTACTTTTCGATTTAATATTTTTATCAATTCAACTTTACAAAAAACTTTTGTGATACTTATAAATCTTTCCGAGAACTTATAAAAATAAAAATAAACCTTTGTAAAAAAAAATGAGATTTAAAGATTCTCTGAGACGTTTTGAACAAAACTATAATTTGTTCGCGAGAAAACGTCCAAAAGGATTTATAGTTGGGGTTTTGTTTTTCAGACAGAACTCGGTGACTTTTTGATAAAACTTAACGATACCATGACACGAAGTCTAGGAACATTATCCTTGAGGATCGACTTTAACGGCTATTACTCATCTATAACGGTATAAAAATAAGCCATACTATAAACACAAATATTTGTCTCATATGTGCATCTTACATTAAAAAAATAAGTACCAAAAAAGTGTATAGCAATTATATTTTTTTTTGCATTTTCAGCGAATTGCATGCATTGGGCCCGACCGAGCGTAATYATCACGGATGATCGATCACGAGCAGTATAAGTTGACGCCAATACACAATATCGATGTTAAGCTTATTTTTCTTAAAATATACCTTTAATTTTTGCGATTAATTATTATTTTTTTCGCCATATTTCCACTTAAAACAACTCGTAACCTATAAACGATACAGCGATAAACCTATGCTAATCGATGTGTAGCTAGGGATCAATTTWTATGAACAAATTCATTGTAATTTTACACCATCCAACGTCTTAACATCTCCATAACCTCCACAATCAATTGACCTCATTTCATAAGTATTAAGTACCATGTGTATCTATCATGATTTGAGTGTCATTAACCTATTGTGAATGATACACAAAGCGAGTATTAGATTTAAGATGAAACGGGTGAGCTTATGCCGTGTACTTTAAGCAGTTTAAGAGCATACCTACTTGCGGGGAAAAAAGTACATCCAAATAGTCTGATAATCATATAAAATATATATAGAAGAAAAATCTAAACGAAAGATTCGTGTTTTTTTTTTTTAGATAGGTTCAGTTGTAGCTGTATCATATTATAAAGTACCTATATATAATATGYATCTATCCAATGTAAATATACTAAGTATACAGGGTGTTTCTGAAATGGTGGAGGTAACTAGTACATGCATACTCAGTGTGATGAACTGATGACCCATTGAAGATTTTTTTCAATCTTTAAAATCTGGGTTTATTTATCTTACATTTAGAACATTATCTGAAATGTGAAAATTAACACTCAAGTTTTATTTTTCGCGAAATTCTCATACGAATTGAGGTGGCACATCATTTTTACGCTTGTCACGCTCGAATCGCCGACTAAAAACAAAAATGGTGTGACMCGTCGATTCGTATGAGAAAACTACAAGGTAAACGTTGGTGATGGTTATTTGTTGTCATTTACCATAACTACAAAATTAAATGTTTATCTTATCGAGTCAAAATAGTTATGTTACTGGCAGTAACTTACTGCGATATCCACAAACTGGAATTTCAATATAAATAGGAACACATATTAGTTGGTTTCATTTACCTCTAACTCATGACTTATGACATTGCGGGTAAAAGTTACCATATGCTATTACCTGTACCTACATCTAAAACATATACCTAATTTAAATTGGTTAAATTCGATCATTTACTCTTGTCTACACTATAGTTTTTTTATTATTTTATCATTTTTTATTTTTATTAGTTGTCAATGTAAAATAATGCACTTATCAGTCATGTATGTTAAATGACAAAAAATAACTATCACCAATGTTTGTCTTGTAGTTTTCTCATACGAATCGATGTGTCACACCTCTTTTTTTTTTTTTTGGCGATTCGAGCTTAAAAAAACGCACGACTAGCGTACAATGATGTGACATCTCGATTTTGATGAGAATTTTGCAAAAAATAAAACTTGAGTGTTAATTTTCATATTGAAGATAATGTTATAAAAATAAGATGAATAAACCCAGATTTTGAAGATTGAAAAAAAATTTTAAAAAATCTTCATTGGGTCATCACTGTGTGCGCTTATACTAGTTACCTCAACCATTTCAGAAACACCCTGTACATATTTCATCAGAAATCTAAATTGGTTAAAATTATAGATCATTTTAAACTGTAGTTATAAAAATTCAACAAAGGATACAACACATTCGTACAAACCTTTTTTACAAGTTTCAAGTAGGATGCAATAATTAGAGATCAATGCTTAATATTTTATTTTATTTTTTTTTTGTGGAGGGAAGCAGCAATAGTGCAAAATAATTTAAAACATCAGTACTACAATTACTAGTTTATTAAAGTACTATATCTATTATAATAGGTACTGATATTTAATAATGATGTTCATATAAGATTAATAACTTCACTAAATTAAAAAAAATTCATTGACTAGGTATCTAATGATTATTACAATTTATCACCCATTCAGAGTGATCCATCAAAACATGCTCACCGCCATTTATCCTTTAATAATGAAATCATTCAAATTCTGATATTTGCAATTTTTAAATAWATGTACTCGGAGACCATTTTTTAAATTATTACAGTCAAGTACCCATGTACTTGTTTGTAAGGAGCGTTTACTTGACCAGAGATTTCAGACTTGTGGTGCTATTTGTATGCATCACTGATATTACACTTAGRTACCAAGTTATATCTACTTCATAACTAATTAAATTTAAATTAGTTAGAATGCACTTTATATAGGTTCATTTAAATTTTTAATTAATGTCGATGACCGTTAGAATTAGCAAGGAATGAAAATACTACACCTGTATTAAGTACCTATTATAATATTATCATTATCATTTTATCGATATTTTTAGTATTTTTTAAAGTCAATAAGTCAACTCAGCAGATAGATAATAATTAGATTTTTCAAATTTCATTGGCTTGTCCTTTATTCGTTTATTAATAATCACAAACCCTTTACAATTTAAATTCTAATTACATTTAATTTCTAAAAGTTTAAATTGCATAGTAAGGTAAAATTACATACTATGGAGTGATTAATTTCCATGCCTTCTTGTTCATTTTTATAACAATTATCATTATTGTTTTTATGTTAAGGAACAATGTTTTTTTAAATAGTCTTAAAATTTCATAATTTTAGTAAAAACAATAAAAGATAACTTGATCTTGGTATTTTTATTAATTTTATTTTTCAATACATTATTAATATGAGATAATTAAGTTTTTCATACAATATCGTATTAAAATTTAAAAAAAAAAAAAATGGTTGTCATACATTACACTCCCTATAAACTACTCAATAACGATGCAGTCTTGTCTTTAAAATAYACAAGTCGGCAAATCAAAACTAACTTATAATAACAATATTATTACTATRATACATATAAATTTTAAATTGTTGTAATGATTTTTTAGAAGTAAACACACGTATTATACATGTAAAGCAATAATATATAATATATCTATTATGTGTAAGTAATTAATTAAAAAAATTGTGACAGCAAATTAAAAAAAAAAGGTAAAATATAACAACTGTTTGAATTTGAATTTTTTTTTTAATGTTTATATGTTATACAAATTTTACTAAAATGCTGTAAGTAGTAAATCCACAAAAATATTTTTTGAAGTAACTGTGAATTTAAAATTCATTATTATTTTTTGTTATGTGTAGTAGTAATATATTATATAACAATAAAATTAATGTATAGTATCAATATGGCATTTACAAAAAATTGGAACACATGCAATAAATTAAATGCTTCTAATGTCTGGTTAACCATGATGCAAATTTAAAAACCACATAACTGCATACCAATGTGACAATTAACTTTTTCTCTCTGACATAAAAAGGCAGAGAAGCTATATGTTCTAATTCAATAACTC